CAGCAAGGTAGCCTGAATACTGGAGAGGGAGGGGAAGAGAAGGCTGCACCATTCCTTCCCTAAGTTGTTTCTTCATTGAGATCATACCACCCGTTTCACTGACACCATGAATACTGCAGTCAGGAGTCCATCTCCCAACCAGATGTTCAATGCCTTGAGGGCAGAAATCTTATCTTCTCCATTTTGGTATCCTCAGCTCCTAGAGAAGCAGCTGGCACATATAAAGTCTCAATAAATGCTTACTGAATGAGTGGTCTGAAAGGGAAAGGGAAAGTTTTATGTGGAATAGCTAGACTTAAATGACGTTATACCTCACTGAAACCTAAAGACACACATACACATTTAATTACCCGGATTTGCTTCCTACATGATGCAAAAAAGGTTTACCCCACAGATGAGTTTTTCTCACTACATTTTACAACCTCCCTTTCTAGACAGGCATTCCTTAGCTTCCCTTCCCACATGTTTGTCATCAGCCCTAGAGAGACAACGAAGCAGGCCCAGCACGTTGGTTTCAGATTAACTGGGCTGAGGCTTTGTAAAGGTTGCCTTGTTTCCAGGCCGCCATGAAGTATGTTTGAGTGTCGAGAGGAGACAGTCCGCCTCAAGTTTTGGTCAGCCAGAAAAGCTGTGCTCTCAGCATGGGTGCAGCACGTGGAATTCGCTGCCCCCTGGAATCCAGGGTGCCACACACTGGGGTTGCGTTTCTCAGAAAAGACGGGGCAGTTGTATAACCAATGATAATATTTAGAATTATGCAGCTGTGATAAGGTAATTGAATTCCATGCTGCAGGGCAGAAACCTATCCTTTCCAGTAATGAGGAAGGAATTCTCGCTGGCTCCCACGTTGTTACTGGATTAATTTTACGGTTTCTTTAATTTACCTTAAAAGGAAAGTGGTTGCTGCAGGGATCACAGACAAATGAGACTTGTGGAATATGAAGCCTTAGTTCCATGCTCCTAACTTGAAGCTCGTCTTCTTGGTCTAGAATTTTCATTTATACAATGGGAACCGCTAGAGGACAGTTCTTGCTGCTATTCTTACCGCCAACAGCTACCACTAATTGAGCACATGCTATGCTCCAGGCATAAATGCTCACAACAACCTTGTGACACAGGTATCCTATCACTTATATTTCACAGAGAATGAAAGGGAAGCCTAAAGAAACTCCTCCTTGCCTGAGATACAGTTTTTTTCAATACAGTGTGGGGGTGGGTGTTGCGGGGGCAGGTGGTGAAATCTACAGCTCTTTTTCTTGACCACAAATGCTCAGAGTATTCAAACAACCTCAGCTATACACCAGAGCCATGGCAATGCATAGTTTAAGATATTACATTTCTCTTAAGTGATTTTGACTCATTTTGGAAGCCCTTGAAAACCCTTCAGATGCTCAAGATTTAAGAATTGTCCAGCTCTCTTGTGCTAAATGAAATGACAAAACTTTAGTTCACCCTTACTGTAACCAAAGTATGGTCCTCTGAAGCCAAAGGATCATACTTTGAGGTACAACATTCATTATTTTTACTCTTGTTATTTTCTCAAGTAAGAAAGCCCTTTGCAGGTGATTCCAGCTTGTTGCCTTCAACAGTTGTTGAGTTCCACATTCGAGTGAAGTCACTGGTCTATAGATTTGAAAGGAAGCTGCCCAAATAATATGTGACACGTCATAGAGCTTGTCACGTGGACAGGAGAGGACTAGGCAGGCAGGTGTGGTGTTTTGTTTTTCTGGTTTTTGAATTTATTTGTTTTATTTTGGATACAAAAAAAAAAGTATTATTAGAGTCTTCCAAGGACAAATAGGTTCCAAAGATCTCTTGTCCTTGGAAATGTTCAGGAAGAAGCTGGACAGTCACTTGGAAGGGGCGCTGCAGAAATGGCTGGACCAGATGAGTGCTTCCCAAAGCGGGGTAGGTACAGTATTCTGGAGGTGTGGAAACCCTTCCTTAATTAATATTAAATCACAGTAGAAAGTCATTCTTTTCAGTTCTCTTTTGATTCTTTGGATTACAGGAAAGACAGTCTTATTTTGGTGCTAATGTGTATTTAATATCTTGTTAACATTTGCTAATTTCCTCTCTTATTTATTTATTTATTTATTTTTGAGACAGAACCTGGCTCTTTTGCCTAGACTGGAGTGCAGTGGCATGATCTTAGCTCACTGCAGCTTCAGCCTCCTAGGTTCAAGTGATTCTCATGCCTCAACCTCCCAAGTAGCTGGGATTACAGGCGCGTGCCACCACGCCAGGTTAATTTTTATATTTTTAGTAGAGATGGGGTTTCATCATGTTGGCCAGGCTGTTCTCAAATGCCTGACCTCAAGTGATCCTCCAGCCTTAGCCTCCCAAAGTGCCGGGATTACAGGCGTGAGCCACCACACCCTGCCATTTAAAAACACTACAAGAGTTGGGGAGGTGGGTCTTAGGCTCTCAGAGCCTTTGTTAGGCAATTGTATCAATTTAGAATTTCATAACATTGTTACTTATCTCCTTCACATGACAAGCAATAGGAGGTTTCCATTTTGGGTAATGATTGTAGGCTTTGGAAGAAAAGTATGTTTATTTAAAGAAAATGTTAAGTAAATGAGACTAAAGTGGTACCTATGATGGAAAATTCTGGACTAGTTGACTTTAGGATGGAGATGCCTTGACAGGAAAATCAGATTTGAAATCATATTCTTAAAAATCAACTTGTCTCTTTCTTGTTGGGAGTACAGAGAATGAGTCTTATCTCCTTTTAGTGAAGGAATTGGAATGGGAATTTGCTGACATGTATTGTGTGAATTAAGAGATGAGGGAAAACTCTCTCCCCAGCACCCAACACACATCATCCTGGGGACTGTATCCTTGTATTCACGCCTCCCCAGTGTCTGACATAGTAAGAGTGCAATAAACAACTGTTAAGGAATGAATGACTGTTAAGTGAGAAATTTCATCCATTTTATAATCCTGCCTCCAGGGTATCCTACCATAGGTCCCAGACACTGTTATGTTGATACTCCTCTCTCACCTCTTTTACTTACGTTATGCCCAACTCCACAGAGCTTGCTTGTCAAAAGTTGTGCTCCCCACTTCCAGAAAATTGGGGTGACACCAAAGATTTCTTCTGAGGTAAGTGATTGAGGGGGAATACACACTTAGAATGAGAAAAGAAGAAAGCACTAGTTTTCTGAAAAGATTCAGAACTGAGGGGGTAAAAGTTATGTCTATACAGCACAACCAGATGTGACATCTAATTATTATCCAGCGAATTAAATCAGGCTAAGTCAGCCAAACCAACTCATATTTCTGGCATGAAATCTCTAGTTTGGCTGCCTGTCCTGCCAAATCAATAGAAACTGGCACCAAACTCCTATTTTATTGTGTGGTGTGTTGGCATAGACATAGTCTTCTTGTTCAAAAAATAGGTACTTGAGTACAAATCTGGCCATTAGGCGTTCTCCCAGCTTCTTTCTGGCAGCCTCTGGAATGCTAATACACACCAGGCATGTTTGGAAGGATTGAAGTTTCAAATTCAGGAAAAAGGGAACATGGCTTACAAGGGCAATGGAGCCACAGCTCATAAAACACGGATGTTTCAAGTAAAAAAATATAACCTAGATGTCTCCGAATTTAAATGTGGCTTTACTACAATTAATCATATAGCATGTTTTCTAGAATCTTCCACAATAAAATGCTCAGTCCAAGAAATACAATAATAATTTTATGCATTTCAGTTTTTGTCTACACAGACCCTGGGACAATTAAACTGAGGAGCAACAAGTCTATAAAGTATTTTCCCGCTGGGAAAGATTTAGTATGGGAGTGTGACCTCTGAGTTCTTACTCTAGTGTTCCTTCCGGTGTAGAAAAGACCAGGGTGGCTACCACACAATGCAGTTATTCCCAGAAGATGGAGAGAAAAGCCTTTCCAATAGCAATTTGTTTCGTAAACATGATGTTCAGTAGCTAATTCCATATTATCAGTTAAGTTTTGGCACAGGACTGCCAATGGTTGGATAAGTCAACATATGAAACCCAGAGATAGCTTGATGGGCACGCAAGGTTAGCAGGACATGTCTCATAATGAACAGCACTGACATTCAAACCTGAGTTCTAATACTGGTAGCCTGAGGGTTGGAATGGGCCTACAGATGTACCATGTTTGCTTTGCAGTGTTTTGTTTTGTGAATTGTATCCAAAAATCTGCAGGTTCTTAAAAATTTTGAGATTTCTGGATACTCTTGAAAAATGGGAAGATCTGGCCTTTGTCTCAAGTCTCTCTGCCTTCCTTTTGCCACATTATTCTGTAGTTGGGTCTCTCTCTCTCTGCCTAACATCATACTTGGTCCTCTTATTTCTCTGTATCCATGACTCCAACAAAATAGGAAAACAAAAAGTAGCCTGAAAGGGCAGCTTCATGTACATATATCACCCACTGGGCCACCGGAGGCATTTGAGGTTGCCTTTCCACTCCAAAATAAGGGAGCCTGACTCTGTGTCTTCCCTAGGCAACACATTCTCCAGTAACATTTCCCGGTATTCACAGGGATCCTCCAGGGCTCTGTGTCATTTGTAAAAGTTCCTCCCTTCCCATTACAACTGGGTCATCCCTTCATTTGGGTTAGAACTATTGTATTCAAAACCATAAAGGACATTCTTATTAAATCAATCATTCATTCCATTTGATCATAAATATCTAAATTACTGTGTCATTTGGAAACTACTCATTTCAGACTAATACCTTAAAAAGATCTTTGGCAAACTAAATTATGCCCCTCAGGCTCTTTGTCTTAACGCAGTCTCGAATAAGAGCTAAAACTCTCTTAATGGTCCAATTTGGCAACACTCCCAACTTGCAATTAGGTTACATTTTTAAAAGTTCATTTTATACTAGTTGTTTGCAGCTTATAATTCCTTTCTCTTTGACAGTATTATAAATGTTGACAATTTTTCCAAATTTTGACCAAAAATTTCTCTTTAGCTATACAAAGGATTGCGTCATCGCTTTTTTTTTCTCCCTGCAAAATTACACAACCAAAGCTCTTATTTCCTCAATAAAGTTGTTTGTTATTAGGTATTTAAAAAACATCAGGAAATTCCACTTCAAGGTGGTGGTCAACTGGGACTGCTAGTAAGGGGAAGTAACACTAGGAAGCCTAATTACATCACATAAGGGCTTTTCTCTTTTAAAGAGTAACACAGTGGGTTTTCAGCACTGTTAAGAGAAAGCAGAAACCTCTAAACATTGGTTCCACCCTTGAAGAGGATGTATGAAGGATCCAGAACCCCTCAGTTTGTGTACAGGAAGCCTTTAGGCACTCAATCCAGATGCTCGGCCAGCAGGGATGGTGAAGAGAGACTCTGCTCTACCACAGAAAATGTCAGATGTGGGTTCTGCCTTACAAGTGCTTTCTGTGAAGAGTTTGTTTTCCAGAAAAATGTCAGCATATGGATAATAAAATAAGCATGTGCCTTCATGTTGGCATGAATATAGGTTTGGTGGTAAGAATTAGAGCTGCTGTGATTACCCCTGGTCAGCAATGGACCATCCCAGCTTCACAGACAAGTACACCAAATCAACTCCAGGACTGTTTCATGGGCAATTCATTCTTCAATGAAAGCACGTGTACATGCAGTCACTTGTTTAAGGCTCTGGACAAGTGGAAACCAGCAGAGACCTGAAAGGCATTGAGGAAAAATCTGACATAGTTCCTGTCCAAGTAATAGCCAGCCCTTCAAGGCATGTAATAGTTAGAATGCTGCTCCATGACTTTTGAGTTGTACTATGAAGTTCTCATTACACAGAGATCTTGAAAGCAGAGTATAAATATCCTTGAGAACTCCCTGAGACGAGGAAGGATTCTCAGCGGCAGCTCACATAGAGGCAGAGTGGTATGCCCAACAGGGGAACAGTGAGCCAAGAGTGTTAAAGAGAATAGGGTCAGTAATACCTGAGTTCTGGGCTTTATCTACAAACCCAGAAATCATCCCGCTGGGGCAGTGTCTATGGAAATTCCTTCTCCAAGTCAGAGATGTGCTGTGGGGAAAGAGAAGAGTGGGCAGGAAGGAACGTACAGTAACATTTTTCTGCAACTTCTTGGCTCCATCTGTTTTCACCAGTCGCATAGACAAATGACTCTTTCACCTTTTCCCATGCAGGAATAAATGATTATCTCACTATCATAGAAAATAGAATCCTATCCTGCAAAGCTTCCACTTGGCAAAAATCCAAGTGCCCACTGATAAAATATTCAGATGGGGAAATCTCCCGCCCCCTCCCCCTTCTCCCACCAGCATAAAAGGTAATGGGGGTGGGAGGCAACTGGAGAAGGAAATGAAATCATGCGGGTACACCAGGAAAAGATAAGTGTTGGTGGCAGCAGAGTTGGTGAGTGTTGTGGGCATTACCTCTTGATGAGGCTTCCAAGAAGGCTCCCGCTCAAGTCCTGGTGGTTCTGAGAACAAGCATTCTTGCATCAATAGCTAATAGGCTGTCCAACCAGATGTTATCTGGGTGGGATAAGAGGGTGAGAAAACAGACCTGTTGTACGCTGTTGTCAACTACATCACTGTGGTCAGAGAAGGCTGGTGGTGTGGTGTTTAGCAGGGCACCTCGTTCACAGTGAGGCGGACCAGATTACGTGGCTGTTTAAATTCGTTTCCTCTTGTGATTGGTAAAATACGAGAGTTATAATCATTCATGCATTACTAAAGCCTCCTTTCCATCATTTTGAAGGGACTTTTTTTTTTACTAGAACAGAGCATGCATCCAGCAGAAACCTAAAGCATTGGCTTTTCTAAGCAATCTTTTGCAATAAGCACACTTAAAAACAAACCAGCCAACAACTGCTATGGTACCTGTGACAAGACTGGAGATGATAAGTGGTAAGACCAGCATCTGTAACATCCTCATCAGAAGTTCCCCAGGAAAGGAGAAGTACTTGACTTCCCGGTAGCTCATTCTGTATGGTCGGAGGGTAAATCCAAGGATTGTACCTGAAGGAAAAAAAAAAAAAGAAAACTTGAGTCTTTTTTAGAACAGAAGCAACAGTCCTAGCAAAATGAGTGTGTATTCGGCTGGTGGTTGCATTGATTTAAGCGCAAATATCTGCGCTGCTTTAGGAGCAAGAGCTGTATCTGTCTTTGCAGTCCTTATCAGTGAGGGTCTGCCTGAATTCATGGCTTCAAGCAGAACTTATAGAAAAAAACTGTTTCTGGTTTGAACAAGTAAAAAAATCTCTTGATCTAACTTGAATGCAATGGAACCCATTCTGACATGGCTCAATACAGAGTTGCAAAGATGGGGCATAATTAGGAAACAAATAAGCATTCACGAACAGGTGATATAGAAAAAAGGCTTTATTTTAATTAAGTTCCTTTATAACAGCAGATGTTAGAATTGCTAGCATAATCATTTTCAAAGGATAGTGTGATTTTATTTTTTTCCAATTAGAAAAGCCCCTCCTGTTCACATTGTTAATCCACTTTCATCATCTCCCTGTCTTCACACCACATTTTCTCCCTCTGTCTACATGGTCTTGACATTGCCTTGGTAACTGTATTACACAGACTTGTTAGTTGCTGGCAAGAGAAGACTCTAAAATGAGCAGAGATTTTTCTCCCTAAAATTTTCCCTGAAAACATGGGAGAATATAGGGGAAAGAGAAAGCAATTTTCCCCTTAATTTTCCCTCTACAACTGGAACTTTAAAATCTTCTTAGAATGACAAATTTACATGTAAGTCAGATTATGCATGATAATGATTGAAATGTTCATAAATTAATAACGGTATTGGTGTTAATAAAAGTGTAAATTTACTCCTTCTCCCCTTTCCCTAATTTACTTTCCTTGCCAAAGAAAATTGACTTATGCCAGTATTGTCAATGTTGTTAAAGTTTTTGCCTTGCTCTTATTACTGAAACATGTGATTCCAGTTTTTAAAAAGGTTCATTTAAGTCATAGAGAAAATAGCACGCCCAGCACTGAGTTAACTAGGAGCTAAAGGCTGGGGTTAGTGGGTGGTGGGAGGCAGGAATAATACTGGGTTGGCACAGCTGTCCCAGAGGAGGCAAGAAGTCTTTTACGGAAACTGAACTATCTTAACTTTTTATGAAATGGGATACAAAGTTCATCTGAATTGTCACTGCAACTCCCATTTCATTTCTTGGGTCTCAGCAACCATGAAGAATCTATTTTTTTGTCTCTATACTGTGATATCCTATTAAGAATCTGAATCTATGTGGCAAAAAAAACCCCAGCTGACCCAGTTCTCAGGGTCTTCAGGAAAATATTTATTGCTTTTTTCCAATGTAACAGTAATATGGTTAAGAGAGAAAAGTCGGTTTGGAAAATGCAGAAAGATGGGGCAAAAACCTGCCCATGTTGGTTCTATCACTGAAATAAATAGCAAACAGCGAATGCTTCTGAGCTCTTGCTGTATGCCAGGTGTTACCTAGGTTAGCACATTTCATCCTTGCAACAACTCCAGGAGGTGGGTACTATTTTACCACCAACTTACTGAGGGAGAAACCTAATCACAGTAAACTTAAAACTTGTTCAAAGGCCAGGCCCGGTGGCTCAAGCCTGTAATCCCAGCACTTTGGGAGGCCGAGGTGGGTGGATCACCAGGTCAAGAGATCGAGACTATCCTGGTCAACATGGTGAAACCCCGTCTCTACTAAAAATAAAAAAAATTAGCTGGGCAAGGTGGCGCGTGCCTGTAATCCCAGCTACTCAGGAGGCTGAGGCAGGAGAATTGCCTGAACCCAGGAGGCGGAGGTTCGGTGAGCCAAGATCGCGCCCAGCCTGGGTAACGAGAGTGAAACTCCGTCTCAAAAAAAACAAAAAAACAAAAAAACAAAAAACTTGTTCAAAGTCAAATATACTCAAGTAGCAGAGCTAGGATTTAAACATAGGCAGTTTGGACTCACATCCCAGGTTCTGAACCCCTTTATATGTTTCCTCTTCTCCTGTAAAGCAAAGGCAACCACTTAGTGCATCAGTTGAGTTTCTTTCCAGAATGTTCCAATACACAGTTAAACACATGGAAATCACACAGAATATGCTTTTCCATATACAGTCACCATAAACATCACTTGTAGGTCTCCTGATACCAGATTCATTCACTGCATCATCAGGCTTTACTTAGTCCTCGCTGTTATTGAACACTTAGGTTGCTTGGCAGTTTTCACTTTTATGAAGAGCATCATGATGAATACATGAAGGCTATTTGACATCTGGAGTTTTTTTTAGTGTAGTTTTAGAGAAAGGGAACCAATACCTCAAAGGATACGACTAACTTAGTCCACGTTACCAAATTGCTTTCTGCGTGGGTTGGCCGGGTAGCTTAATGCTCTGCTCCACTAGTGAATGAGGCTTTTTTTCTGCACCCCCAGTAGAGTATTATCATAAAAAGATGTTAAAACAAGCAAAATTTGCTAATGTGATGAGTAAATAGTATAATTTTGTTTTGTTTGTATTTACTTAACATCTAATGATGTCGATTATTTTTCCTAATTGTATTTTCTCCAAGCTTCTATTACAGCCTAATTGTTTAAGAGTCTATGTACGTGTGTGTGCACGTGTGTGTGTAAATATTGGGTAGAGTATTTCATATAATAAAGATAATGACCCTTTGCCTATGTATAAAATACTTGCTATAACTATTTTTCTGGTTTGTTTGCCTTATATCATTACATTAAATATGTAAAAGTATTTTGCATTTTTATAACATTATATCTGTGCACCTTTTTTATTAGGTAATTTCTTCATGAGTTTACACATTTTAATTTCCCTACCCCCTCTCAAGTTTGATAGAACTTAAATTCATTTTTCTTTCTTTTTTTGTTTGTTTTCTTTTAAAATATTTAACTTTCAATCTTCCTGGAACTCAATCTGGGGTAAGGCATTTAATTCTGATTTACAATGTGAGTTATTTAACATAGCAGTATCTATAACATACAGGAATTAATAATTCGGTTATATCTGTCTTTTTCCTGCTTGCTCACATAGAAGCCAAGTCACAAAAAAGATAAGTGCTTTATCATACATATATGAATAAACATTTTGCTTTACTTCCAAATTAATATTTTGTTGTGGTTGTTGTTGAAACAGTCTCACTCTGTTGCCCAGGCCAGAGTGCAGTAGCACGATCTTAGCTGACCTCAACCTTCACCTCCCAGGTTCAAGCAATTCTCCTGCCTCAGCCTCCTGAAGTAGCTGGGACTACAGACATCATTACGCCTGGCTAATTTTCATATGTTTAGTAGAGATGGGGTTTCACCATATTAGTCAGGCTGGTCTTGAATTCCTGATCCACATGCCTCAGCCTCCAAAAGTGCTGGGATTAGGCGTGAGCCAGCTTGCCCAGCCCAGTCAAATTAATTTTACTGGAATTGATTATGTGCTTTCTGATCTTCATTTAAATGCATTTAAACACTTGACATTCAATTATAACAAAACATGTGCATTGTAAACAAGGGGCTCATTTTGGTCATCTGGAATTTGAACATATCAAGCTGTTAGAGGGATTTTAGATATTCTTCAAACAACAGTTGAAGACCAGGTTTGGTTTTACAAATTCATATTCAAGTTGACTGTTTGTTATTAGAAATGTAGTTGCTTACATACAGTAATATTTCCAAGGGTAGACAGGATCTTGTCTACTCCAAAAACTTATCTTATTTATAATATATAAATAATTGGTAGAATAGCTGTTCTGCTAATAACATGGGTTCTAGGAGCAAGAGTCAAACGAGTGCTGATGAAGGAAGCAATTATTCTAAATATTAGGTGCACTTGAACTCATCTCCTGGAGTCTTACCTGTGCCTACACTATCTCTACTCCCATTGGTACAATGACACTGGTTGTGTATATGGCCTCTTCCTCTACTTGGGTGTTCCACTACCTTCTCTCCTCTTACCCCATCAAGTCCTGCACTTACTCAGTGCAACCAATTTTTATGTAGGTGTTACGAAGGAAAGTAAGCCAGCTCCATGAATGAATTCTGAGCAATGTGTGAATGACAAAGTCGGTTACCTGCCAAACAGATGTCTAACAGAACAACGCAAGATAGGGAAGCAAAGTCTCAAGAGGTGATAATATTTTGTGTGTTTCTCTCCTTATAGTCAAAAAAGCTGGTCTTGCTGGGAAGCACAGTCCCAGAATTAGCTACTCTAGAATGTGTCTCTATTTCTTTACATTCCTCAATACAACACCTACGTTGTCTAAAAGCTCTTCTCTATAGTAGGAGGACATCATTTCTCTACGGTAGGACATCTCTTCTCTATAGAGAGGAGACATCATCTATTTATAAGGAATAGTTTTAGGTCAAAAGTTTAGAAGAGAAGTGTCGTTTAGAGTGATAGTAGATTCAGACACATTTTGAATCGTTTTTGTCTCGGACTATGCTTTAGTTGGTTTACTATCTCTGGGTTTACCAAGCAACCTATTTCTACTCTTGAAAAAGATGAGATTACATTGGGAAAGAAGAATGTGTATTGAGCTCTTACTATGTGTTAATGGTGGTGTTTAACCCTTATCACAACTTTATGAGGTAGATATTATTGTATCTATTTTATTTTATTTTATTTTTTTGAGGTAGAGTCTTAATCACCCAAACTGGAGTACAGTGGCAAGATCTTGGCTCACTGAAACCTCCACCTCCTGGTTTAAGCAATTTTCGTGCCTCAGCCTCCCGAGTAGCTGTAATTACAGGCATGAGCCACCAGGCCCAGCTAATTTTTGTATTTTTAGTAGAGATAAGGTGTCGCCATGTTGGCCAGGCTGGTCTCAAATTCCTGACCTCATGTGATCCGCCTCGGCCTCCCAAAGTGCTGGGATTACAG